CAGTTTTATGACTTCCTTTGCAATAATTATCTCCCTCTTTTTTTTGCTTTCACTGGTCTGACTGAATATATAATATGTAATATGATAGTCACAATTCTTATTTTGTTTTAATATTAATGGAAAATATTTGATAATTCATTGTTAAATGTGGCATATATGTATTTCTGTAAATATCCCATATAAAGATAAGGCAGTCTATTTTAATTCCTACCTTAACATGTGTTTTTAATCAGAAACATATGTTTAATTTTTATATCTAAGAGATAATATGGACTTTGTTATTTAATCCATGAATAGATTCATTGATAAAATTCCAATATTAAGTAAGTTTAAATTCTTGGTATATACACTAAAAGCCCATCAATACACTTTTTAAATTATTGCTTTATGTAGTTGCCTTTTGAGTCAGATAGAAGAAGATAAAAATTACCAACAAAAACACATTTATATTGTGTTTTGTATTTATTTATGTACCTAAATTTTACCAGTACTCTTTATTTCTTTATGTGAGTTCAAGTTACTCCTTGGAATCTTTCATTTAACCTGCAAAACTTGCTCACTATTTCTTTTAGGGAAAGTCTGCTAGATATTAATTATTTCATATTTTATTTATCTGGAAATAATTTCTCCTTTATTTTTATTTTTATTTTTATTTTTGAGTTGGAGTCTCACTCTGTCGCCCAGACTGGAGTACAGTGGCACGCTTCCGGCCACCACAGCCTCGACCTGCTGGGCTCTGGCAATCCTTCCGCCTCAGCCTTCCAAGTAGCTGGAACTACAGACGCGTGCTACCATGCCCAGTTAATTTTTTGATTTATTGTAGAGATGAGGTCTCGCCAAGTTGCTCAGGCGGGTCTCGAACCCATGGGCTCAGGCAATCTACTCACCTTGGCCTCCCAAAGTGCAGGATTCCAGGCTGAGCCACCCAGTCCGGCCTCTCCTTTGTTTTTGAGGGAAAGTTTTCCTGGATTTATAGTTCTTTGTTGACAATCTTATTCTTTCAACACTTTGAAAATATTATTCTATTTCTGGTCACCATAATTTCTGATGAGAAGTTATTCAATTGACAATTAGTTATATGTAATGATTTCCTTTTCCTGTTATTTTTCAAGATCCTCTCTTGGTCTTTGGCTTTTGACAATTTGACTATGATTTATCTAGGTGTGAGATGTCTTTTAATTTCTTTCATTTGGAGTTCCTTGAGCTTCATGAATATTCAGATTATTTTTTAATCAAATATTTCTTCAATTATTCTTTCTGTATCTTAATCCCACTCCATTCCTTCTGGCACTTCCACTATGCCTATGTTGGTATGTTTAATGGTGTTTCACATGTCCCTGAGGCTCTGCTCAATTTTTTTAAAATGTGTTCGTGTGTGTGTGTGTGTGTGTGTGTGTGTGTGTGTGTGTGTGTGTGTGTTCCTTAGACTGGATGTTCTTAACTGATCTAACTGCGGTTTCATTGATACCCTTTTCTGCCACTTTAAATTCCCTTTTGAATCCTCTAGTAAAATTTTTATATCAGTTACTTTAATTTTGAAGTGCATAATTTCTCCTCAATATAAAATGTACTTCTGTCTCTTTATTGGTATTCTCTATTTGAGATATTTTCATATTTCCTTTTAATTATTTAAACATGGTTTTCTTTATTATTTTAAAGATGTGGGGGTACAATCCAGGGTTAGGCATACATTGTACAGGTAAAGTTTGGGCCTCATGTTCGTCCTCACTTCACCTGGTTTGACCTCAGGTACACTTATTGATGAAGTGTGCCCGCCCCCCCGGCAATTTATCACTACAGTCAATCCTTTTCTTGTAGTATTATGATAATTGTTCATGATTTTCTATAGTTTTCGAAGCTATTTATAATTGTGGATTTAAAATGTTTGGCTAGTAAATTCAATGTCTTACTAGTTCAGTGGCCTTTTCTATTTATTGTTTATCTTCCCCATTCTTCCATGTTTAGGGCATGCCTCTGTCTTGTTTCTTTGTATATCCAGAATTTCTATTGAAAAATAGAACATTTAAAATAACATATTGTAGTAACTCTGGAAATCAGACTTTCAGAGACTGTTGCTATTGATATTTGTTGTTGTGTCTCTTTGTTCATAACTTTCCTTTTGTTTATTTGTGACTTTCCTGGACTAATTCTGTTGTCTCTATTTTTTTAATTTTGTCATCAGTTAATGATTGGACAGAGATCTCCTTAAATTCCTTGGACCAATAAGTCTCACAGCCTTTGCTGATGAACTCTGTGTTTCTGTTCAGGCATATCTTCAACACTCCATCAGACAATTTGCAACTCTGCCTTAACATTTACTTCCTGATTTTGCAGCCACAAGGTCAGCTATGGGTGAGAGATTAAAGCCTCTTTATGTATTTCCTGTATATGCTAATAGTCCTGCACATGCATATGGCCTTCTGGATTTTCAGGAATATGTATAGCTTTTCAAAGCCTTCTAAAGTTCTCTCATCCCTAGTTTTTCCTTTTAAGTTTCTTAGTCTCTTATTAGCCCCAAGTGGTATCTCCACTTCAAGAAGTTGTGATGTTAAACAATTGCCAATGATTGTTTTAGACACACACCTAAGAATATGGCTGTTCTCACAAAAGCTCTAAATCAGGTCAACTAAAGATAAGCCCTGACGATAGAGCTTTTCAGGTAGCTTCCATACAGATCAAGTGGTAACAGTAACGTGGGATGGGGATCTATGTGAGTTCCAAATTCATTATTTCCCATCCGTTGACTTCTGGGTTGGCTCCTTTCACAGCTACTGTGGCTGTGAGTCTGTTGGTTTTTATAGCTATCGTGGAGCTTATGAGAGGGGAATGGTAATGCAAGTTAAAACACAAGGCTCACTCTGTCAAGATTCAGTGATTTTTCTCAAATAAAAGATTTTCAGATTGTTGAAAGCCTTTGATTAGCTTCTAGGATTACGAAAAAGTTGATTTTGGCCATTTTTGCCAGCATTCTCATTGTTTTTCTCTCTCATCCCTTTATTTTAAAACAATTACAGAAACAAAGAACTGAGTACAACATGTTCTCACTCATAAGTGTACTTTAACAGTTATCTTAATACTGTAAGAAAGGAATTGGCAGTAATGAGAAACTGCCAAGGGAGGTGGCGGGTGGGATTGGCAGTAGTAGGATACTGCCAGGGAGAAGGGTCACAGGTCACACCTCATCAACAAGTGTACTTGCATAATGAACATTTGTATACCTAACCCTGAATTGTACCCCACACCTTTAAAATAAAAAAATTTTTAAAAAGAAAAAAAATTATAGTGAGTTAGGCAAATGTATGCAGTGATTTATAATAATGAAAGGATGTACAATGATCAGGATTTATATTCAACAAAATAAAATTCAAGGTGAAAACATTAATGACTGAAAAGTTTTATTTTGATTAAATGCATAATAGTTATGGTCTTGATGTTGCAAACAACAAGCGTTTGAAATATACAGATGTAAAGAGAGAAATAGACAAAGGCACAAGAGTCAAAGCTTTAACTTACTACTTTAATAATTATTACACAAAGTCTAAAATAATATAGTTTACAGTATTATGCAGTATTTTGAAACAGCTAGGTTTCAGAAATCTTACCTGACAATAAAGATTAATTTATATTCTTTTTAAAATCCCGTGGAACAGTTACAAAAATATTTTTAGCTACAAAGAAGAATCTCTAAAAATTCTTTAAAAATTTTAAAATGTTTTCTGAGCACACACAAACTCTAGTTAATAGAAAAAAGACAAAATAGCAATAAAATAACCCTACTTAATTTGAAATAAATATTCTTCTAAATAACTCATATTAAAAACAAAAACAAAACTAAAAAGGTTTTTAGAAGGCTATGAGTGTTTTAACTTTCAAGAAAACTACCTTTTCAAGTAGCAGCTATTATTCTTTTGTGGATATATTAACTTCTTGACATTCCCTGAGGATACAAATTTCATATAAAATGTTCTCTTTGTTGTCTCCTGTTTCCTAAAAGCAAATTTTGACATTATAAAATATTATAATATCCATAATCACATTTCCCAGAGGCAGCCACTTTGCCACTCCTATTTTGTGCTATTCTGGTGCTGATCTCCTTAACTCTGAAAAAAATAATTATATCCCTATTATCTGGATTAACAATTTTAGACATTATGTATTACTTCCTCTCTTGAAGAGATTAAGATTTACTCACATTACTCGCAATTGTTTCTTGCCTTTGTCATTTTTCCAGTTGGGATTTTATTTTTGACTCTTTTATAGTTACCTTAGTAATTTTAAATACTTTAAAGTCATTTTTTCTCATGGCAATAACTTTAGATAAATATCTAAACTACCCACTGTATAATAAGAGGATATGGTCAACTTGATCATATTTTTATCTCAAACTGCCATGTAGATACCTTCATTATTGTATTGTCTAAAGGACAATCACATTACATTTAATTCATTTGTACTTAGTCAAACATTTGACCAAATATTCAAAACTAGCAAATTATAATTTCATTATCACAACTTTGTTCATTCATGAGCCAAGTAATGTCTCTTTCATTCCCAATAGGCACAATTTATGACCCCCGTGATAGTTGAAAGTATCAAGTTCAAGATTCCTTATTTATACACTCTGTTAGCCATTCAAGACCATGTCACTTTTTAATTTGCTTAACATTAGGATCATTATTTTATTGTGCAAATTTCAGTTATTTTCTGGTATTTTTTATCTTTCTTTTTGGTGTTAAAAAATCATACTATTTTGGCAGCATATCCTCAAAATTATCAACATTTTAGAAACCTTTGACCAACAGTTATAAGCAGGTTGTGTATCTTTTGTACTATTGATTATGTAAATATCTGGTAGCAATTTTTTTCTTCATTATAAATGGAGTACTAATTTGGTTAATATTGATAACTGACACAAGATCCTATGTCCATATATATGTGTGTGTACATATATATACATATATAATATCCTCTCTCTCTCTCTCTCTCTCTTTCAGAGAGGAGGGTCTCCCCATGATGTCTGGGCTAGACTTGAACTCCTGGGCTTAAGCGATCCTCCTGCCTTAGCCTCTCAAGTAGCTGGAACTACAGGTGTGCACCACACAACCTGGCTTCTCTTCTTCACATAAAAAATGCAATCTATAGATGCATGAGGAAGAGATAAATTTGCAGGTTTAACTTTAAAAGACCCATGGGCAATCAGGTACATTACCCCCTCTCTCCTCCCCCCAAAAAGAGTGAGTTTGTATTTCCTTCACCATGCATTGAAACTACTAATTGAAGATCACTTTAAATTAAATTTGGATTTGGGTTTTTTGGGCCCACAAGTATTGTGAATCCAAAACTGGAAAGAATGACTCCTACTTCTGCTCAAAACTCTTTCTGTGTATTGTCTGACTTCAGATTCCCATGCTCACTTTTTACCTCTGTATGTCATTTTAGTTAAATGTAGCTCTTACAAGTAGCTAATAAGTGTTCTTTGTCTTTGATAGGAAAGTTTAGCTAATCATAATTATGATCATAATATATTTAAACTTTTTTCTGACATCTTGTGTTATATTTTCTATTCTTCACATTTTCAAATGCCATTTTTAAAAACTTTTCTGACTTTAATTTTGTAACATCTTTCTAATTAATTGCAAATCCTATAGCTTATTTCTATTACTGTGTTAGTTATTTTTAAATTTGTAACAAAATAAATATTTTGATCCATTTATTCATGAATGTCAAGAAAAAAGCATTTGACTTTTGATAGACTGCAATTTATTATATTGTAGTTCCTCTGTTTTATAAACTCTTTTTTAGTAATTATATTAAATTTTGGATTGCAGCCTCAATAATTATTTAGAGTTATATGGCATTTTTCTGCTCTCTTTGCTTATCACTGTTTCCTGAATTCAAAACTTTCTTCTTACTTGGTTCATAGTTATCTTTTTTTTGATAATATATCCTCAAGTCAATTTTATGAATACCATCACTAGCTAAACATAGCTATGGAAATACAACCATGCTAAAATCTTAGCTATAAACCATAAGCTCTTAATGTTGGTCTGTGCTCACACTACATTTCCATAGTCTGTTTACTTTCCTATTCTTCTATATCTATGCTGTCCAATAAGGTGACCATCTTCCTTATGTGGGTATTGCTATTTCAATTTAAGTTTAATTAAAATAAAATAAAATAAAATGTTGTTCCTCAAATGCATTAGCCATATTTCAAGTGCCCAATTACCATATGGCAAAGTAATAGCCTCCCAAGGATGTTTACATCGTAATCCCTGAAACTGGTATTATGTTACCTTGCATGGCACAAGGGACTTCATATATGTGATTACAGTTAATGAAATGATTATCCTATATTATCCACATGGGCCCAATATAATCACAAGAGTCCTTAAGGTGGAAGAGAAAGACAGAAGAAATGACCAGAATAGTGAGTTATGGAAACACAACAAGCCTTATTGGCTTTGTAGATGCAGAACGGAAACCACGAATCAAGGAATCTAGAACTAGATCAGACAAAGAAAGGGGTTCTCTTCCAGAGCCTCCAGGAAGGAATATACCCATGTTGACATCTTGATTTTAGTCCAATGAAGTCACATTGAACTGGTAACCTACAGAACTCTAAGCTAATACATTTACATTGTTTAAACCAATAAGTGTGAGATATTTTGTTGTTGTAGAAATAGAAAATTAATGCAACTACTGTATCAAATAGTGTAGATAGAAAACATTTTTTATCACTGCAAAAAGTTCTATTGGATAGTACTGATCTTCTATTGAACAGCATTGATAAGATTGCAAAGAATTGAAGGTGTGGTAAATAGAGTCCTTATTCACTTTTGGTAATCTTTTTTAAAATATATATATAAGCTCACTTTCTGGGATGATCTCATTTAGTCTCATAACTTTGAATAGACAACTATAAAAGCTGTTGATTCCTAAATGTATATCTCTAGTTTGAACTTCTCTTCTGAATTCTGACCATATATCTGATAATTTGGCAACTTCAATTAGACATGTAATAACCATCTTAAATATAGTGTCCAAAACTGAACTCCTGATCTTCTCCACTGTATGCTTGCTTTACCTAAAACTTTTTCATCTCTGTTAACAGTAATTATACCGTATTTAATTTCACACATGCAACCCAAGAGTCATCTTTAACTTCTTGTTTCTCTCATGACACTCATACAACATGCAACCTATATCAAAAATCTTTTTGACTATGAAAAGGAGGCATAGGGCAAGGAAAAGGGGCAGGTACATGAACTACCAAGCTCTCTCCATGTTTACCACATTTTCAGCTTCCCCACTGATGTGTTCACCAACCCAAAACTCTTTTATACCCATAGTTAAAGGGTTGCTATGTAGGTCTTATGTGTAGACATGATATTGATTAAGCCATTATCCACTGGTGATTGAATTCAATCTCTAGCCTCTCTTCCTTCCCTGAAGGTCATAAAGTGGGGTTGAGAGTTCCAACTCTCAAGTCATGCCATCATAATCTTTCTGGTGACCAACCTCCATCTTAAAACTTCCAAGGTCTTTAAAATCTATATGCTGAAAAACAGGAATTACTTGCTTTTTATTTCATTACCTTCTACCTATGAAATATATTCTGAAACTAATGATGTCTTGTCACTTTCATTGCTATCACCTTGTTCTAAGCCATCATCATCTTTACTTTAAATTATTGTAATAGCCCACTCAGTCACAGTCCAGTAGAATGACAGAACCCAACCAGATAATTTACACAAAAATGTTAAATATCAGAAAGAGCAAGCATAAGAGTTAGGATAATCTAGACAACAGGTTAATATAGGCAGCTGCTGACCCTAGAGGTTATTATTGGAAGCCAAAGCCAAGATCACCCAATATAAATGTAGACAACAGTGACGTGCCCAGGAGGAACTAGCCCTGGAGCATATGCATCAGCAAATAGAGAGTGGGAGCCGTACCCTAGCTTCTCCCTTCTGGGTGGCTTTAACTTTATGACAGGCTTCTCCTTGACCAAATTTAGTGTGAAACCAATTAGCAAAGGAGCCTGGGAAACATAATTTGTGGGGATTCGACAACTAATAAATAGATCTGTCCCAAGGAAGGGCAAGGAATTAATTTGGGAGAAAACAACAAACTTTATAAGTTGTCCCCTATCTTCCATGATAGCTGTCTACTGTCTATCCAGCACCACTCCCAAGTACATACACAGTCTGCTCCAACAGAGCAGGTAAGCTGAGTTTTTATAACTAAACATAAGTAAGTTCACTCTACTGCCCCAATTCCTAGAATTATTTGTTGTCCTGCAGAGCCAAAGTCAAGATCATCACAATGGCCTACAACATCTATGTGATCTATCGCTCATTATGCCTCTTTGACCTAATCTGCTTCTTTTTTCCAAAATAAATTTTCTCCAGCCACAGTGACCAGCTTGCTGTTTCCAGAAGACACCAAGAACTCTCCTAACTCTGGATTTTTCCCCTGCTGTTATTCTCTTCCCCTAATATCTGCTTGGTTTAAACCCTCACCTGCTTCAAGCCGGGCTCAAATATCATGTTATCAAGTTGAAGAATGATTCTTGAACATTACACAATGTGTGAGAACAGTCAACAAAAGCTGCCTGTAAAAGAACTGAATAGGGAAATATATTTAGTGTCCACTGCTTTTACTGATTCTGTTGTTTTCTTTATTAAACGATAACACATCATTGTTGTCTTCTTCTATGATTTGATATCTAATGAAAAACTTACACTATTATCAAAGTGATAACTGTAAAAATATTTGAATAACTAGAAATGGAAATGCAGATGACACCTCAGAACGTTTCTGTCATTGATGTTGTTCAATACAATTCATTTCATGGTTCAGTTCAGCACAATGTCCTGCTTGAACGAAATAATAAAGAGGAGAATGCAGTAGATTAAAGCAACAGTTGAGTTATTATACCAAAAATAAGTGCTATGTGAATGAATCATAAACTTGACAGATTTCTGCATGAAGAAGCTAATTTAGTAGAACTGTCATGATCAGATCATCTATATGCCTCTCTCTTGTATTTTTTTGTTTCAAGAAAAATTTTATTAAATGTTAACTGAGGCATAGAGTTTAATGCCACTATATTTTGAAAATATGTTTTTCTTAATAAACCAATAACAACAAAATAGCACATGATTTAAAAGTGAAATCTACTAACAAAGCCGAAACCAGTGTGTATACACTTCTCTGCCTCATACTTGTCTCACACTACACAAGTAATCTCTTACCTGAATAGGATATTAGCTAAGTTATTTCTCTTAACCAAGATATGTTTGTTCAGTGTTGGCATGCAATCAATTTTTTTGGCCAATGATACGTGTGGTACATTACAAAAATGGCTAAAATTCTCACTCCTTTCTTTAGCCGTGTCCTTTTCAATTGATTTTTCTACTTTCCCCATCAAGAGGTGGAGTTTATTTCTTCACCTCTGTGTCTAGACTGCCCTGGTAAATAGAAAGTGGTAGAAGTGACAATGTGCTTTTCCCAAGCCTATCTCTCAAGAGTCTTCCATTTAACACTGTTTCAGAACTCTGCCACCACCATGTGTACAAGTATGGTCTAGCCTGCTTGTGAATGAAATACCACATGGGGAGGAGAGAAGCTGTGCCAGCTGGCCCAGCAGCAGATCCTACACACCTGATTAGCCCAGAAAAAAAAACACTCAGATAAACTCAGTTCAAATTACCAATCTGTAGATATGCAAGCTAAATAAACAGTTGCTTAAAGTCACTATGCTTGGAGTTGATTGTTACATGGCAACTGTGTAGTAGCTTCTATCTTTGTTAGCAAATTTAAAAAAAGTTACTGATTTCATCTTGAATTACAGCTTGAGTTTTAGCTGGAATAAGCAGTAGGCCCTTTAGAGACAGCAGATTAGATGAAATAACTGGCTTGTTTGTCTCCTTTGTGTCTCCTCACTAGACCACCGTTCTAGGTACAGGTGAACAGCACCTGAACAATAAGTAGCAGGATGGCAAGTCCATCCCCTTTAAAGCCATGAAGCTTTCAGAGTAGAGTGGGCATTGCCAAAGCTGATCAGATAGCTAACAGAAAAACTCCACATTTAATTACTGTCTTATAAATTTATTGCTTTGATTGCCAACTTTTTTTTATTAGATCACCTCTTTGTGGGAGAGAGGGTTAAAACCCTCACAGCACTAAATTGGCCCACACAAACTGTAGAAGAAAGAATCCATAATTCAAACACAGGGCTAGAATCAATTATCCATAGTTAGTAGGAAGAGAAGTCCCTTCAACACAGCATTCAGACTGGAAAACAATTGTTACTATAGCTACAACTTTGGAAAATGTAGGAGATACCTTCCAGATGAATTCTGAAAACAAATGGACTGTGCCAATTCAAATCTCACAGAAACAACCAGAATAAAACATATTTACATCTAATGAAATTTATTTATCATATGAATGTAAGAAATAGTGTGAAAAAATGATAAAAGTTGTAAAAAGGGAGAATACAAAAGGAAATCATCTATCCAAGCATCTCCCATTGTGTTTGTAAAGTCACCCAAAATACCTTCCCTACACTGACTAAAGTCTTCATTTCACATGTGTCCCCATGCCACATAATTTCAACTATACAAAATGATTCAGGAAATTAAATATCTAATTTATCAAGTAACTCATATTTATGTATCATTTATTTATTAAGAATATTTAATATGTCAGGTTGTGTAAAGGATTCTGAAATGAGTAAGCCATGGACATGGTGTTACACAATGTATGGGAGATGTTTACAAAGAAACTCTTTAATATAGCAAATAAAAGGTAGAAAATAGTAAAAAAAAAAAAGTCATTAATTGAAAGTGGAGATAATTTCAGGTTATCTTTAAAAAAAGTCCTTAAAGGAATAACCATTTGAATCAGACCCTGAAGGACAGGTAGAATTTTTTTTTTTTTTTTTTAAGTTGGAGTCTCGCTCTGTCACCCAGACTGGGGTGCAGTGGCCGCTCCCGGCCACCGCAACCTCGACCTGCTGGGCTCCAGCGATCCTTCCACCTCAGCCTTCCGAGTAGCTGTAATTATAGGCATGCGCTACCACACCCGGCTAATTTTTGGTTTATTGTGGAGATGAGGTCCCACCAAGTTGCCCAGGTGGGTCTCAAACCCACGGGTTTAGGCAATTCACTCACCTCAGCCTCCCAAAGATCGGGATTACAGGCTGAGCCACCGAGCCTGGCTGACAGGTAGAATTTAAACATGGAGGACAAGGGCATAGAAGAAGAGAAAGTCTAGTATGAGACAATAGTTTGTTTTTCTTTGCAAAGAGAAAATATATTGGATAGACATGGCCAAAGTCATAACATTGGAAAAGATTTTCTTGGGAGATTCTGACCTCTCATTTTTGCCCTAAGAAAGTAGGAAGAAGAAAAAAATGATTAACACAGGAAATGAACTACATTCAGGACTAAATAAAGGAATAATATATTCTTGACTTGACAGGACTATAAATCAGTTTGTACTCTGCAACTTTTCAAATAAATCTTCAAAATTTAGAATGTTTTTTAATGACATTTTAGTCATATCTCAAGCATTAATTTTCTTTTGCTACAACTTTAATTTTTGTTTCATTAGAATTACTGGACTTTGCTGCATTTTTGTTCTTTGATACAATTAGCCATGTAGATTTGATTGTACTTACCTTTAACCTTTTTAGTAAAGTAAGTTTACTTACCTTTAGCCTAACTGATTTTGTTCTGAGTGTATTTTTCTTGGACAAAGTTATAATTTTATTTACTGATTTTAATTCCTTCCTAACAAATCTAAATGCCTTGTTTTTGTTTCCTTTTGCTATATTCTCCCTTATGTCTTTGCTTTTTTGTTTCTGTTTTTTGTTTTTTTGGTCCTCCAAATTTGCCTGTAGCAAAATGAAATCATTGTATTTGACCAGATTATAACAATCTGGCATCATTATAGAAGATTTACTTTATCTTATTGGGACTAAGTAGTAATATGTTATAATTTAAAATATTTCTAGTCTAAATTTGTCCATAACATTAGACCCATAATTTTTGTTTGGGCAGGAATTGGAAAATACATTGTAGTGATGGCCAATTACAATTTTAGTAAAAATTTGCCTGTTTGAATACATGAGCTTAATATACCTTATTTCAGTTGCCTTATAAATACATTTTGATTGTGACAGAAAAAAATTAACAAATGTTTACTTTATATGCCAGAAATTGTGCTGTATGATAGACAGCACACATAGACATAAATTCTGATATGGCTAAGGACTAGGAAACTTAAAGAAATCAATAAAATTAGCCATAATGTGTTATCAAAATGCAAATCATGTTTTCAATGCTAAATAGAGCTTCATATCAACCATATGGAACCTTATATCCCAATACATATGGAGTAAACCACAGTGAAGACAGAACATATTCCAGTAGGTTCTATTTTTCCCTTACTGTTTTTCAAGCATGACTGCATAAAAATTATAGTTCTCTAGGAATGAAGAGGCTAATGCTTACAAAATCCTTTCTTTGTACCCAATTGCTTTAGAATAAAGCAATTTTTTCCTCATTGTGCATTATTTTTTACCTCATTTGATGTCTCTGAAAGTATCCTTTTAAAAACACTAGAATTTTCGTGTATGAGTACTGGACATAGAAGCGAACACATAGGACTTAAAAGTGTTCTGGGATACATCAAAGATCATAGAAACCTGAAACTATGACCTAATGCATAGTGTAGTGATCCATGAATTACAAAGTTGTGTATGATGCAAGATAAGTTTCAGCATGATTTTTAAAGAGAGGGTAGGCTTGGAAAGTGATTTGAGAAAACACTATAGTGATGACCAAATGTAATTTTAATAAAAGTTTATCTCTTTGAATAAGGCTTAGAAATCATAATACAGACTATGGGGACAAAGATCAGATACTGTATGGTCAATAAAATATATAAAGGTTCTGAAAGACAAACTGGTTTCTGTTTTCTTTTTTATTTCAGATCCTATGAAGTTATTATACCAAAGAGTCATCACTACCAAATAGGGAAGACAAAAGGAGACATTCCACTTTCTTAATAAAAAGAAACATGGATAAATTATTTTGAAAATAGATATTTATCTATAATTTTTGAAGGTTATGAATATATGATTCCATTCAGTAGCACACACTAATCTGGTAGTACATTTATGATTTCTATAGATGATCATTATAGAACATTGTTTAAAATGTATATGAACCATTTTAAACATTGTTTAAAATGTATATGAACCTAAAAAAGGATATTTAAAGTAATAAATATCCTTTTTAAAAATTTAAAATGTCAGTCAATATTAGAAAATCTATCAAAGTAACACCTGATATAAAAGACTTAACAAGAAAAACATATTTACATCGCTATTTAAAGTCTTTGCTAGGGTATAAAATATTTGTACTAGGGTTGGGTGCAGTGGCTCAAGCCTGTAATCCCAGCACTTTGGGAGGCCGAGGCAAGAGAATTGCCTGAGTCCAGGAGTTCGAGACCAGCCTGGGCAACTTGGTGAGACCTTGTCTCTACAATAAGTAAAAAACTTAGCTGGGCATGGTGGTGTGCACCTGTATTTCAGATACTTGGAAGACTGAGTCAGAAGGATCACCTGAGTCCAGCAGGTTGAGGCTGAGACGATCATGAGTGTGCCACTGCACTCCAGTCAGGGCAACGGAGTGAAACTCCAGCTAAATATATATATATATGTACTAAAAACCCTTAATAACTTCTTAAACTTGTAGCAGGCATGTGGCAAATTTTGCTGCAAATATACATGATGGAGAAAACTTTAATCACATTCTTTGAGACCAGGAGTAAGTCAAGAAGAATCACTAACACAACTACTGTATAACAAAGTACTAGAAGCCTTGCCAAACTCTATGTGAAAAGAAAAATAAATGAATTATATAAAATTTGAAAGGCAAAGGATAAAATTGTCATTATTTTCAAATGATATATACTCAGAAAACAGTAAGAACCAAGAAACAACTGATAAAGTATTAAAACTAAAAACAGAGTACAACAAGTTCACCATATGCAAGTTTAACCCGATTGGGATACTCTTCAGAGATGTGAAAAATGGGAGGATTCCCAAATAAGAAAATAAACATTATACAGCCATCTGTAATCATCATTAAGTAAGCTATTTAGAATTCCCAAAACATAATGATGAAATAAAATCCATGCATTGAAAAACACAGAAATAGAAAATATTATTACAAATGAGAAACTCAAAGGTTGAAGTAAATGGTTAATAACATAGATGAAGATAGACTTAAATACTGAAATATAGAATGATGAACCCAGAAGGCAGCACAAGAAAGAGCAGATAGAATCATGTGAAAGAGGATAAGCAGGGTTTTCAGCAGAATTAATTTTTTTAACTTTAATTTCTTTCTTTCTTTTTTCTTTTTCTTTCTTTTCTTTTCTTTTCTTTTTTTTTTTTTTTGAGTTGCAGTCTCACTCTGTCAACCCAGGCTGGAGTGCACTGGCACACTCACAACCACCTCAACCTCAGTCTGCTGGGTTTAGGTGATCCTTCTGCCTCAGTCTTCCAAGTAGCTGAAACTACAGGCATGTGCCACCAAGCTTAACTAAGTTTTTGATTTATTGTAGAGATGAGGTCTCGCCAAGTTGCCCATGCTGGCCTCAAAACACTGAGCTCAGGCAATCCTCTAGCCTCAGCCTCCCAAAGTGCTGGAATCACAGGTGTGAGTCACCATGCTTGACCAGTTGTTTATATTTTAAGTCCACAGATGGTTATTGTGAAATGGCCAAATATCGAGGATAAAGAGAAAGTCATAAAAGCAACCAAAGAAAAGAAACACTATTACCTGCAAATGGGTAATATCTTTTTGAGGGTTCTCATTAGTAGCATACTATGTCAGACTTATACTTTTAGAATGATTGTCAGCATAGAATTCTATACTCAAGTAAACCATCATTCAAGAGTGAGGGTAAAATATAAGTATTTCAGATACTCAGAGTTGTCTATCACATATACTAACTGAAAAATGACTAGAAAATATACTTCAACAAGAAAATATAATCTTAA